GAAACCTCACAAAAACAATATTATTTTTTTCCTTGAATGACTATTAATTTTTGTTGAGAGCTTGATCTTATCTATTAAAAGTCTCAAATATAAATTTTAATATGGGTTTAAAGGAATCTAGAAAGACAAATATTTATATGTATAATTTTCCCCGATCATAATAAGTAGGGAAAAAAAAAAAAAGAAAGGAAAAAGCTACAATAATCATTTTTCATAACAAACATGTACGTAAATAATAGTTTAGGTACGAAAAGAAAGGGTAAGGGTGTGGTAATAATGACTGTACACCATATTCTCAGGTCACAAATTTTGACAAAATTTTTTTTTATATAAATGGTTAGTTTTAATATTTAAAATTATTAATATATAAATAAATTATAATATATTAAATAATAAATATTAATTATTTTATTATTTATTTTTATTAATTAATAACTATAGTTATTATTTATTTTAAATTGCTAAATTAAATAGAATTAGTATTTGATATAAATTTAAGAATAAAAATATTATAAATATAATAACATATAATATTATAAATTTATAATATAATATATTACTATATAATTAATTTTTTCATTTAAAATTTACTTATAATACTATATATATTTATTTATTTAATATTATGTCATACTTAATTAATTTTTTTATATATTAAAGAATTAATTATTTAATTAATATTATAAAAATTTAAAATTTAAATTTTAACTTTAAATTATAATTTAACATGTCATTATAAATAAAAAATAATTTAAAAATAATTTTTTATACTACTTTTTAATATAACTCTATATATAATTTAAATAATAAACATTTTAATTTATTTAAAACTTATAATAATAATTATATTTACTTATTTAATATTATTAAAAAATAATACAAGCACCTAACCTGTTGAGCGAGTAACTTTTATCATCTTATTAGGATACAGTTACCCTCATTTAGATCAAATTCAAACCCACATTACACCTTTACTTTATTAAAAAAAAAAAGTAAAAATGATACAAAAAATTCTCCTCTCATTTTTTTTTTTGTGGTACTAAGCTTTTGTATTTGATAATCATATATTGAGTTCTGATTTATTCAAAATCGAGTTATGATTAATTCAAAATCAAGTTAAATCACGTTTTATTTAAAGAAAATTTTTTTAACATTTATTTTTTTATTTATAAAATTCAAATGAAAAATTATATTTAAAAGAATCGGAGTTGGTCAAATCAAACTACCTCGTTAAGTAAACGTCAATGACCTTGCCCAAGAAGTCGAGGTGATAATTAGGACAGTCCGGTAACTTCACAGCTCGGTCCTTTTTATAAGCCCATTAGGTTTTTCCTTCTTCACAAAGGTGTTCGGCTTTTCTCACACCTTCTCCATCTCACATCATCGACCCGTTTCTGTGGCTCTGCGTTTCTCAGGTGAACACCTTACCTAGGGTTTCTGTCAAACTCATCTGTGCGCGACGCGCATCGATATTTAGCTTGTTCGCATCTTGTTGTAAATCTGATTATCATCTTTGCGAGCTCAGTTTGGATGTACTCTAGGGTTTCTGCTGATTTGGCTCGGGTTGAGGTTTCAGCTTGGTGCAGTTTTTTTTTTTTTTTTTTTTTTTTAAATTGGGTATTGGAAATCAGTATCTAGTTGGGATGAACTTGTTATCATTTAGTGAAGGTAGAAAATGTCATTGCTGTGAGGGGCAGCAGTGGAGTAATTATTCAGCTGAGTTAAATTTTATTTGCTTCGATGGGTTTGGTTCAGGTCCCTTTTTTAGATCTCTTGGTGTCGGATTTTTAATCTTTTCTTACTTGTTATGGCTGGGACACCTTAATTAGATATGTTATAATGAAATACATGTCAGTTATCCTTGATTTGGTGTAATCTTGTGTGCCATGCACTCTTGCTAAATTTTTTCTACCATTTAGTGGTGTCAGTGTCCCTTGAAATAATTTGTCTTTCATTGGAAACTTTATTCTTGTATGTTTGTGTATGAGACACCTCTCCTTAAATATGGGAAACTTGGTTTTCAAAATACTGGAGTGAATTCCTACAGTTTATCAAAAGATGTTTTTGTATAAACGAGGTACTTTTGCTTTTGTGCTTACTGTTGGTCAAGAATGTGAAGAAGACATAAAACCACTCAGAACTATTGTCATAAGAATACATAGTTTTTGTTATTGACTTGCAGATACTAACTTGTTTGATCAGATCGTTGGTTAATACTGGCTCAAGTTGTGACATTGGCAAACAGAGATGGCAAAGAAGAATCCTTTGGTTTTTATGGATGTGTCTGTTGATGGTGATCCTGTTGAAAAAATGGTGTTTGAGGTATAACTACCAGCCACTCAATCAAGTCTCTTTTTCTATACACAATATCTTGTTGCTTTCCTCTGCAATATCATTTTAAACTCTATGTGTGTCTCTGTGTGTGTGGATTAAGTCCATATATATTCATTTCTTTATCCCTTTGGTTTTGCAGCTTTTCCCTGATTTTGCTCCAGAGACAGCAGAAAATTTCCGTGCACTATGTACAGGTGTTCATATAAACCTAGTCTTGTTATTTTCATTCCTCTTCAACTTTGATTCAATTTGTTTCAGGATGTATTTTTTATAAAATATTTCAATTTCATTCTATTTCACATGAAACACCAGTACAGTTTTCTTTTGCTTGATGCTTAGATTCCAGTTTTTATTGCTATTTTAATTACTACTAGTC